AGGATCATTTTTAAAATTAGTAATATTCTACAAGGGACAAAAAAAATCAATAATTAATATGATTTCACGTATTGCTATGAATTATAACTATAGTATTATATTTAACTATAGTATAGTCACGATAATTGTTCGCAAACAGAAAATCTACAACTAGTATTAAATATTAAACGTTTTTATTATTATTTATGTAAATCGTAAATAGTGACTTAAATGTTAATTTTATATAAAAATGAAAAAAAAAAAAACAAATTATATTTTAGAAGGAGATGAAATTCAGCGTTAGCGTTCAGACAAACAGAAGCGGCAGGGTCTTTGCTACATGTAGTGATTTTATTTCAAATTAAAAGTGGAATTCATATCTGTTTAATTTAACACTAAAATTATAAAATTATTAATTAATAAGTTCTGGAAAAACTACAAATACATAAATAGTAGGGGTAAAGTGTCATTATTATTATATACTATTGATTACTGAGGTACTCACCACCAAGCAGCCACCGCACATGACCCTGTAACAAACAAACATTCGAGCGTTAAATATTAACGACACGACTTTTCGATGGGAAATACACGTCCGTAAATTTAAACCCAACACGAACACGTCATGAAGACGGGAGTACATCTAAGTATAAAAGTTGGTTTTGTTACTTTTCGTGCTTTCGAAATTCTAAGAAGTGACTTTACATGTTTTGTTAGTTTTTTATTTGTTTATAGTTCGAACCCACATCAGAAGCAAAATGGTTCAATGCACAGGTTCGCCGTCCATCGCTGTGCTCCGGGCTGCGGGTCGTCAAAAAGGTATATTTTTATTAATTCCCGTGATATATTATCGCTTCTTATTAAAAAGTTTACATCGTAAGAACTAAAAAGTAATGTAGTGTAACAAATATATTGATCAAGTTGATCTTTCAGAGATTAACAATTTGTTTGTTGCAACAGCTACTTAGTATATTACCAATTGGATACTATAAAAAAAACGATAATATCGTGTTCCGCGCGGCCGCAAAGGGAAACGTACCGAATAATTTTACAAGTAACCACTTTGTTTCATAACCTTAGCGAATACAAAAAAAAGATAACGGACGAGGAGGTCGTAAAACTTTATCTCCGTTGGATACGACTTTGGCGCAATAAAATCTGCAATTCGCTCCGAAGCGAATGGCAAAACAGTTTTACCACCACCTATGGAGTGCGTACTGTGAATTGGGTGGTACATGCAATGCAATAAGCGCTTGCGTTTTTCAAATCTGAGACAGAGCGAAAAGAGAGAGAGGTACTAGTTATCTCTCTCTGTTATCTCTATTGGATAATGCCCGAGCTTCCAGTGCACGACTCTCTGCAAAGCTTCATCGATCACCGTGCCGGCAAAAATGGAACTTTCTAGATGCTCTTAGCTCTTACCAACAAATTTTCACCATTTATTAGCATCAGGAACATTTATGAATGAGTCGGTGATTCTCGTTATTAGTATTTGAACCGGCAACCTTGGAACTCGAGGCATAAACCAACATGCCACGAGTTTCGGGAATTTTCCATATATTAATGGAACCGCAGATTTTTTATCGATCGCAGCACGGTATAATTATGCGGTAAGCGTTGATAATTTTTTTTAAACACTAAAAATTTAAATAATGTTAATTATTCCTGTGTTTTAACGAGTTTTCATAAACATAAATCATATGTAGACAAACACCCAAGTCCGAAACAATGATCTTTGGGTCCCATGTGAAAAAAAATTGTCCCGAAAAAAAATTGAACCAACGCAGAAAGCATTTGCGCCACGGAGTCATATTTTAGTAATAGATAAAATATTCACATTAATTTATTTCAATGTCAATTAAACTAATTCAAACCGCCTTTCCCTATTTTACATGATACCTTTACATAATTTCAACGGAATTTTGAATTGAGACAGCTTGTTTAGTTTTATAGTTGTTACTAACACGTGGGATGCTTTCATCTCTTGAAAATTAATATCAGATTCACGCCTCCTGCTTCGCGGATAGGAGTTAATATGCTCTATGGATTCGTTCGGCGGAACATGAACCGTAAATTTCGGACGGCATCAAAAGAGTCCGTCGATTGAAGGTGTATGTAGTGCTAAATACACTTTGATCTTTTTACACCATTGAATTCGATGATCGATTAGAAGTGGGATAGGGAGCTTGTCTCGTAGTTTTCCATGCGTAGTGACGTCACAGGATCTTCAGCTCGCGATGCGTAACAAGCTCAAATTGGAAATCATTATATTTTCACAAAAATCTTGTTAGCAGCGGTTTTTAATGTCATTTAACAAATATAAGAATAGTCTGTGTATACATATTAATACAGGTTGAGTATATTTATAGCAATATTTAGACATCATACATTTTGGTGTTCGCATATGTACATGGCCTCATGAATCTCACATTTTCTTTTAATTATTTAATTGGTGCCGCAGCAGATTTGAACTGAAATTGATCGGGTAAAATGAATTAAAAGCTAGGCCCGGCCACTGGACTAACAGAGCTCCACTATTTATTGACAGATACTTAATAGAATATTAAAAAATTAACTTTATTCGTAACATAACTACGTACAAATTCGTGTCACTAACAAGTTTCATGCAATGTAAACTTTTTAAAAGAAATTGATTGGCAATAATATTTTTTTTGAACTGCATATCCTCTTCGCAGAAAAACCTGTATCTCTGTCATCCCCATTTCAGTCAAAGCCGCCAGGGCCCATTTTTTCTTAGCACAAGCGTAGATACATCATACGTAGACGGTATTGAGGGTTCGTTGACCCCGGGTTTTGGATTACCGGTGCCGCCGCGGTCCATCGCCCGGAAGGAATTCAATTAGAGAACGCATTATCCGATTATAGAAAGGTATCCGATTTTATGATACATGGACGCCTCAACCCGTAAGCCGTTAGAGACCGCCTAATACAATTACCGTAGCGCTGAAATGTTTTTAATGTACGAGTAAGTTTCTATTCACACGGCAGTAGCTACTTAGCGCGCAGCTACTTGACCACGAGTCTTTTTAGGGTTCCGTTCCCAAAGGGTAAAACGGGACCCAATTACTAAGACTCCGCTGTCTGTTTGTCTGTCTGTCCGTCTGCCATCCGGCTGTATCTCGTGAACCATGATAGTTAGACAGTTAGAATTTTCACAATTGGTGTATTTCTGTAGCCGCTATAACAAAAAATAACATACAGAATAAAAAAATATTTAAGTTGTATTTAATATAGACATTTAATTGTGGTAGGGCCACGCAGCAGCCTCGGCTGTTGCACGAATCGGCAGGCTCTTCCGGGTAAGTACCACGACCTCACAGAAGACCGGCGTCAAGTGGAAGTATAATTACTTTCGCGTTTCGTCTGGTGAGTGAGGTAGCTGGTCCCAATTTTCAAAAGGTTGTCAACGCATCTGCAACCCTCGGGTGTAGCTGATGTCCATGGGCGGCAGTATTCACTTAAGATGAAGACTCCGTATCACAGTCGTCTAGGTATTTGGGTTCGGCGTCGGGGGTTGTGGGTTCGATTCCCACACGGGACAACTATTTGTGTGACCCACAGATACTTGTTTCGCATCTGGGTGTTTGCCCGCGTGAAATTTGTATTGGTGAAACGTCCTTACAACACAGGATAATGTTATCCTAAAGTAGGGGCAATGTTTTTAAACGAACAAACAAAGAAAAAAAAATGATCAGGTTAACCGCCTGCTCGCTTGGCAACTTTTCACATAAAGACACATTTTTTTCCGTTTTTATAGATAATGGTACGCAACCCTCCGAGCTTGAGTCTGACTCGCTCTTGGCCGGTTTTATATCCACAGGGTGGCAACAGTTGAACGTGTAGTTAGCCTCATGATTAATACGCCCCGCAAACACGGTTTTACGGTGGTAGGGCTACGCAGCAGCCTCGGCTGTTGCACGAATGGGCAGGCCCGTCCGGGTTAGTACCACGACCTCACAGAAGACCAGCGTAAAGTGGAAGTATAACAAATACTTTCGCGTTTCGTCTGGTGAGTGAGGTAGCCGGAGCCCAATTTTCAAAAGGTTGTCAACGCATCTGTAACCCTCGGGTGTAACAGATGTCCATGGGCGGCGGTATTCACTTAACATCAGGTGAACCGTCTGCTCGTTTGACAACTTCTCGCATAAAAAAAAAAACAACAACAAACCCGCAGACATTCAAAAGCAACAAGTTGCGAGTATCTATCTCGTTGCGGGTCTTCGGCATCACTCGCCGACCGACACACAAAAGTAGAAACACTTCAACTTCACACCCGGCCTATTGTTATGCCTTGATACTTCCCCGTTCGACCTGTTTTTATGAAAAAGTGGTCGTTTTTTGTAAAGGAAACGCACTAGATGACTCCGAACATTGCTTTAAAGTGTGATAAAAAAACAAAGAGTAATATAAAATAGTAAGGTTTTCGTCGGTGCGAAGACAAGCCATTAAGCTCAATGGGTAGAGCTTCGGACGCGTATCCCGTAGGCCGCAGGTTCAAATCCTCGGAACGGCCGCAGACACAAAACTTTTGTTGGTCCACCGGAGCAACTATACCCACCATCGGCCGCCGTTACCGTACTGTGAATAGAGCCTTACACAAGTGGATCTCCGAGTACTCCGCCGCGAAATGGTGATTGGTGACAAATGAAAGAACCCATTTATCTTTTAATTAATTTTTCTTTTCTTTTGATTTTGTTTTGTTTTATTTATTAAATTTTTTGTTACACTTTTTTGTTATGTGCGTCCTTTTTAAACGGTTTTATTTAGCTCGACCCGTACGGAATTTATTTGTTTATATATTTGGGTAAAAATTAGAAATTGAAATTTAAGCACCTTCCCGTTGTCAGATTGATCTGAGATTTGGTACACACATTTAATTTAGATGACAATACAATATTGTAGTTTTCAGTGCACATAAAATAAAACCGTTAAACTTTAAAGTTTTTAAACGGTTTTATTTGGGAAATTAATTAACTTTCTTTCTTTCTTCGCATGAACTAGGTTAGGGGCCTTTTACTACGCCCGCGTGCCATCATTTGCGGCGGTTGACCGCCCTCTTTGTGCTGAATCAATAGCCAGTGCAGGCTGAACAATGCCTGTACAGGGCGCGTGACGTTGAGCGACGCGCGTTGAAATATCAACAGTTCGATGTAACCTGCATTACACTCGGTGAAATGGTTCGCCGACCTAGTTAACATAGGTCTACTTTATCTCTTCTTTCTTCTCAAGGGCTGGAGTAGTGACGAGTCCACTTGTGTGGGGTTGGCAAAACATGTAAGTATTGTTTTAGTGGTATTGTTTAGGTTTTTTACAACCGGCCGCCCGCCTGACGTCAAGACCCTTGGGAACAAACACCCAGATCCGGAAATCCGGAATCTGTGGGTCAGTTGGCTTAGCAACTGCGCGTGATTCGAAGATTTAAGCTAGCCCACCGATTCTGGGTAGCCCTCCGGTTCTGCGTTCGATGAATCTTTAATAGTCTCGGGACTGAAAATAGTAAAAAAATGAAAGCGTTAATATCTGTTAATACAATACAAATCGAAGATTCAATATAAGAAGTCACAAAAACAACTTATTTTAAAGTATTAATGATTATATGTGACTTTGATTTCAGATTAGCTCTATCTGAGTTACGCCTCAGAGGAGTAAAGGTGCCTTATTGAAGCATGTCGTATAAAACCACGTACCTAAACCTCTGTAAAGAGAATGAATAAGTCAAAACAAACAGTTTGAGATCAACGTTGACACGTTTCAACGCATAAAGACTCCTCTCAAAATTCTTTTCGTACATCATTTAGTGTGCCCGTTAAAATATGAGTCCCCGATATGATGGTTATATATATTTGGCGGCAAAACTACGGTAATCCGAGACGGTGGCCGTACCTATAGTGCCGATGACATCAAAACGAGCCGCCGCGTCGGGCCTCACAGAACCGATGGGGCGAGGCGGGCATGGGAGGTCCGTCATTCCGCTTTGTATCCAACGAAGAAAGAAAAATCCGACCAAGTGCGAGTCGGAATCGCGCACGAAGAGTTCCGTACAATAAAATTGACAAAAAAGTCATGTCTGTTGTATGGGAGCCCCAGTTAAATATTTTTTTTATTCTCCTTTTTAGTATTTGTTGTTAAAGCGGCAACAGAAATGCATCATAATTATGTGGAAATTTCAACTTTCCAACTACCACGGTTCATAAGACAGACAGTTAGACAGCGGAGTCGTAGTAACAGGGTCCCGTTTTACCCCAAAGGGTACGGAACCCTAAAAATAACGAAGCGCAGATGCAGCGCTTTCCGCCGTAAGCTGTCACAAGCACGTACGGGTTAGCGAAAAAGTTGCTTAAGTAACTTGCACAGTTACTTAATCAGCTTCATCAGTTTCCGGTCCGTAGCAATAATCGTGTAGAACACCTGTCAGTGACAACGGTTCTTCGAGAGGTTTCAAGGCAAGTAATGGATTCCTTTATTTCAATCAGTTGACATAACTGATCCAGACGGTTTACGTATGTTATTTTATGTACGTCACAAAATGTAAGCTGAAACTGTGTTTGATTTTTCACAGTCACGCTTATTTATATGTTTAATGGACTGGCTAGCGCTTTACTATAATCCCAGATTATTATAAATACTATTGGGATCGGATGTGTTGAACAATAACTCAGTGCCAAAAAGTTATTTCTCATATTTTTTTTATGTCAGAAGATGGTGATTGGAAGATGGTTCACCTGATGTTAAGTGATAGCCGCGGCCCATGGACATTTGCAGCACCCATAGAGTTGAGGATGGGTTGCCACCTTTTAATAAAGTGTGCTCCGGTTACCTCTCACAAATAATCGTGTTCTAATCTCCTCTAATCCGGCATTAAGTGTTTTATCAAGGCAGAAAACACGCGGTAAGAAGTTGTTATCCTTGGATAATGCTTTGTATAAGTTCTAATAAAAATTTAAACAAAAGGGATTGTTATAAGAATACTTAAAATATATCCTACTTAAATGCCATTGTCATTCATTCAGGCGTTGCGTTTCGAAGAACGAAAATTAATTAATATAATTGTCGCATTGATAACATTATTGCGATTTGCGACAATAACTAAAAAAATCCAGACGACTTCAATTTCAATTACTCCAAAAAGACAATATACAAAATATCCGTTCAAACAACGTGCTTATTACAGTAAAATTTCTTTTTTATTATAGATTTTTTTTGACAATTGAGCACTGATTGACTCGATTGAGCATTTATAATATCGATGATGAAATGATAGAAGCAAATAAACGAGGTGATGAAATCTTGACACAGTTAAATAACTGACTGATTTCATACTTATGCATAACGCTCCTGCTAAAAACAACAAACCTGCGGATCCATCTATCTCAATAGTTCTGCGTCAGATGAAGCTTTAATCTACGAACTGAAAGCAAAAACATCACTCAAAGTAAATTAAAGTAAAACCTAGAACGTTCGTCAGTGTAAAGTTAAAACATTCAACTCAGTAGCTAGGGCGTCGGACGCGTTTCCCGATGGAACATAAACGCAAAACCTCGCGGTGGCGAAATGACTCGGCTTTACATCCATTTTTCTACAAGTTTTAAAAAAAAATAACAATATAACATAAGCAGAAAATACCACTACGAAACCTACAAATCAAACATCGCCTTAACTTTCTGCTCAGTTATATAGCCAAAGCAATTTCAAAAGTGGATCATTCGAGGCACAACAAAGGGAACCGGGAACAATCAACGTTACCCGTTACCGTTAATTGTAACAACGCGAACGCTTTCGCGCTCTAGAAAATTCCGCGCGCGCGTCAGGAGGGTTTCAAGTCGAAGCCAATGATGTTTTAATAAAAATGACGCATTTCCATAATGCGAGCAGTGAATGCAATAAAACAATCACTTGTATGAACGTGCGCTTTCCATGTTTTATAAGCGTTCACCGATTGCGCGGCTTTTAAAAATTCTCCCGCTTCTCATCATTATATTACATACATAAGTGAATGTGACTGTGATGATACAGAAAGTATGATACGGAAAGAAATAGCGGAGTAATCGATTACAACAACTGCTGTAATTTGTGCCTCAGTTTCGGTCCGATAATGTATCTACCACTTATTTGTACATAAATATATAAATAAATAAATAAATATTTTAGGACACTTTCTTTTTACATACTTAAACACACTTTTTTTTTGTAAGTAAATACACATTATATATATATAAAAACCAAGACACTAGAAAAACACTATATATAATGTCGAAGCCATTAACAATGACTACGTCGGAGCGTTAGCTTCGTTTGATGTAATCCGTGTTAACAAATAAAGAGTTATGAGCGATTTATCAGAGGCAGTCCGAAACGCCATTATTCTAGAGTGAGTTCATATATTTTAAAGAGAGATTTTCAATTTTCCTTCGCTCGAGATTTGTTCGAGCCTCATCGCGCGGTTCACCAATAAAAGTTTATTCTCATGAGACGCGAATCGCAGAAAAGCACACTCGATTTAATATTACAGATCACCGCAGTGTCATAACTGACTACGTGACCAATTCACGGTCAATCTGGACACATGACTAGGAAATAACACGCATTTAAGTATTGCTATGTACCGTGGAGCGTTGCGCTGCGGTTATTATGACGGTTAAATCGTGGTTGGTTATCTGACCCTGTGTGGTTAATGCAGATTTTTCTGAATGCAGTTAATGTGTTTTTGGAATATAATATGATAATGAAGACAAGAAGATTGAAATCGAGTCCGTGACATATTTTGTGGATATTATGATTAATTAATATTTTTTACCGACTATTTCGTGAAAATCCATGAACAGAATCCTATTAAACATATCATAATAAATATTAAGACAACAAAAAATAGCATATTTAATCACAAAAAATCACACGGGGAATAAATATGGAAAATAATATTTATAGGCTTTCGGAAGTTCGAATACCCGGTTTTTCTAACACTCGAAGCTGTAACAAAGAACAGATTTGTTTGGGTTACCGTTATTTTCGCGTAACATAACAGAAAAGTAAAGTAACAGCCTTTAAATGTCCCACTGCCTCGATGGGCGAGGCCTCCTCATTACAGAGGGTATCAGGGCATAGTACACCACGCGGCGCCACTGCGGATTGGCGGACATCACATATCATCGAAATGTTTTCTTTGTTATTATTTCAAATATTTATTATTTAAAATATGCAGGTTTCCTCACGATGTTTTCCTACACCGCCGAGAATAATTCAGGACTTAAAATTAACAATTTCATTGGTGCCGGCACCGGGGATCGAAATCGGGTCGCTCGAGCATATTGAATTAAAAGCGAGCGCCCTGACAATGAGCTACGGCATACCAGCGAAGCATAAAAGACAATCGATACTGAAATTAAAAATTGCGTCAAATAATATTTTTGTTTTTATGTGAAAAGTTGCCAAACGAGCAGACGGCTCACCTGATGATAAGTGAATACCGCCACTGTGAATACTGCCCATGGACATTTGCCACACCCGAGGGTTACAGATGCGTTGACAACCTTTTGAAAATTGGGCTCCGGCTACCTCACTCACCAGTCGAAACGCGAAAGTATTTGTCATACTTCCACTTTACGCTGGTCTTCTGTGAGGTCATGGTACTTACCCGGACGGGCCTGCCCATTCGTGCAACAGCCGAGGGTGGTGCGTGGCCCTACCACCGTAAAGTATCACATCCAATACTAACCGTCTGCAAAAGCTTTCGTCAAGTCTTCGACAAAAAAATTGAAAAGCACGCGTCGGCCTTCCTAACTTTGGTTAGGATAACAAAAATATACCAACGGACCTTGAAAATCAACCCACAGGCTAATAGCACAAGGTCGGGCTTGGCGTGACATGGTCAAAAGTCTAAAAATGGTTCGCGCGGCGGTGTCAAAGTTCAAATACGACCCGGCTTTAGGGGTTGGCAGCTTTATTACTGAGAATCCGCCTCTGTGTAAACGTGATAAGGTTTAATTCAGGTTGTAGGTGTTTTGCTGGTGTATATTTTTGTGTCGCCATTGTTGGCGATAACTATTTAGGTGACGGGGTTTCGTTCGGCCCCTTGATTCGATATTACTTTGGGAATGCATCTGCGCATTTACAAGTTCATACGTTTGTTTTACAGCACTGATTTTATAGCTCCGTGGCGCACTTACTAAGGTATTCGCTTCGACGCCGGGGGTCATGGGTTCGATTCCTACACAAATATACTATTTATGTGACCCACGTATATACACATATTAATCGGGTATTAGTGGGTAAAACCTTACGACACAGGCTACGTTATCCTACAGAAAGGGTAATTTTGTTTACAGTCAACGAGATCCAATCCGAACACGGCAAACTTACCATACAGATTTTTTAGGATTAATATTTATTCCTAGTTCTTGTCTCTGCCCTCACGATATGACTTAAAATGTGATTTTTTTTATAAAATATACAAACACTTTCGGCGCCGCGCGGATCTATCACATCTTCTGGGCTGGGTGACAGATCACATTCAAATGTTAAATATTATGCAGTCCTCTCTTTCGGTCGCTGGCTGGTTAAAAGAGGGAATAAAAAAAGAAAAGGAAAAAAATCCGTTCTAAGTTCAAAGTTCAGTCGGCCGCCCTCCCGCTCGTCGCGACAAAGCACACGACGCTCTCCAATTCGCAAATGAAAGGCGCAGGGCCCGCGCCGCCATTAAATATTAAACTAGGTACGTTCCCGACAGCGGTTCGGAACGGGGCCCGCTTGTGTGCTCAACTAGCTTACGTCCGCGGCTTCTTCTGTGCGATTCGTTGCTAAAAATGAAATCATTAGCTTAAAAAAGTACCCTATTTTGTTTATTGACACCGTGTATGTGCATGAACTTTGAAAACCAAAGCGACGATTTATTTTAGCTTGCTTCAAGCTTTTCCGAAATTCAAATACTAAGACCGGTGAAGTATTTTGTTTTTCATATTGGCTCGGTCATTT